AGTGGTAGTGGTAGTGGTAGTCGTAGTAGTAATAGTAGGAGGAGGAGGAGAAGGAGGAGGAGGAGGAGTTGGGGGAGGAGGAGGACCAGGCGGGGAAGTACAAACAGGCTGAATAATTCCAACCCCCGGATGAGGAACCTGCAGCTCTCATATGGGTCGGGGGTGCCAAGACCTTCCTGTGAAGGCAGGCCTCGGAAAGCGCTGGTTCCTCTGAGCCTTCTTTTAAGTATTTCAAGAAAGCACCTCAGCAAGACCCAGGCGCTGCACTGCTTGTGCTGGGCGTGCGTGCCTTGACTTCAGGGCTGAAGTTCCCACAGGATCTGTGTCCATTTCTGCGTTAGGGCCTCTAGGGCACCAGGGAAGGTTGTATAGGGGTTAGACGGAGATACAGAGGTTTTAGGGTTTCCAAAGCCTACTGTCTGTGTTTCTGTTGGGAGTTTCTATTCTAGCATTTGGGGGCGTATGAGGGGGACTCTCGTGTCAAATCTTCCACGTTTCAGACATGCTTGCATATTTTGGCCCCTTCAGCCCGCCAAAGTCTGGAGGCATGTGCAAGTTTCCGCAGTCATTGTGGCAAGTCCCTGGCCGGCCTGCGCATCCTGCAGGAACCTCTTGTCAAGTAGGTTTGGGGTTTGGGGTTGTAGATTTCAGGTGTAGGTAGGATTCAGGGTATAGTGTTTGGGGTGCAGGCTATTGGGAGTTTACCGTGAAGTGTTATGAACTCCCTGCAAAGCCTGGTAAGCAGATGAGGCTGGACATGTATGTCCAAGAAGGCTGTTGGATACCAGGCTTCTGCCTGCCTGGCCCTGTGCATGTTCTTTGCCTAGTTAAGGGCCCAACAGTTTCCATTCTATTTTCCATTGTCCCTAAATAACCGCAATATACTATAGTACTTTCCATTTTCTTTTCCATTCTCCTTACATGATAGTTTGCATCTTCACATAACCTCTGGCTGGGGATCCACAGGTTCCGGGTCTACCGGGGGCTTCCTTGGCCGCGAATGTACAAATTCAAACTTACCGTGCTCCGCGCGCTGCTTTCAATGTATACGGTTCTGCATGCCTGCCTTGTAGCAACCAAGTAAGCATTTGAAGGCCTTTGCGGTTCCAGGGCGAGTGTAGCTGAGCTCAAAACTGTACCGCCAGAGCTTGGGTGAGCAGATTAGGTTCTCTCGAGCACCAAGCCCGAAGCCCTGAAGTCCTACGGCCTCTTAGATTCTAGTGATCCGACTGCGAAGGTCATGAGGATTTTGTAGTAGCGGAAGATCTTGTAGCATCATAATAGAAGCTAGGCTCTCTTCCTTCCCGCGAACTGTGGTACAAAGGAATATGCCTATGTATATATATATATATTTTACACACTCTTGTCGGCGCTGCTGTTGCTAGTTACAGGAGTGTTCACGGTTGCACCAAAATCAGTTGTGCTTCCTTGGCTGGCGTGCAATTCCGTATTGACCACAGTCGCGCATTGCGCGATGGTTAGATTTGCCCTGTACAGACACTTCGCATATGGCAATGTCAAGTTGTGGGATTCAACTCGGAGTCTTCGAGCTGGTTGTTGTTGAAACGCATTTTACACTTACATGTAATTGTACTGTACCCGCTATGGGTCAACAAGCGATCGTCGTAGCAGTGCCTCAACCATGAACAATGTTCATGACAAAGGGTTGTTCAACGTAGCCAGGCTAGGACATGGACTTGTGGCCAACGCGCCCTTGCGTGTTTCCATTCTCAGCGGTTTCTCCTACTTCCATAATATCAAGCCATAAGGGCTGAAATGGCTTAGTTCTGTTCGAGCCAACTTAGTATGTTAGCTTCAAGGATGACATGCCACTTGTGGAGATGAGATCTATTGAGACCCTGTCCATTTGAAGGCCAGGAACACAGGACTTCTCTGGCCACAGAGATGCGAGTTAGAAAGCCGTACGCATGCTTTGTTCCTTACAGGGTACCGGAAAGCTCTTCCGCAGGTCGCTGCCGCGCAGCCACCATCCGAACGACGGTGCTCCCTCCTGGGTTGTGGGAGATGATGCGACCTTATCAGGAATTTTACAATTCTGTTCGGTGTCGCTATGTGCAGAAGACCTGGAACTTCAAGATCTGGTATAGTGTTCGGGGCTTTTATTGCGGGATCAATCCAATATTCGACGCTGCTTTCATGTTTGGATGCAGAGATTGAGGCTTCGTTCAGATACGTGGTGCAAAGGAATCCCTGGATGTATGGAAGCAAAGAATGGAGCCCCCAGTAAATAAGAGTCCACACCAACAGGTTCTTCAGCGCCCCAAGCTTGATCCGTATGTATTGCTGTTAGTGGTGCATCGAGAGCCCAACGCATGGAGCAGATATGTTACGAACTCAAGGGTCTCGCAGGCCTGCTGTTGTCAATACATGGGTTTTCATGTAGCATCAGCTGTTCGATGGGCCCGTATTCCAGCGGCTGAAGTTACAACACATGCTCAACCTTGTGAATGGGGGGTCTGAGAGCTCATTGTCACCATTATTATGATTGCTGCTGCTGCTGTTCTCTTCAAATTTCTAGTAGCAGCAGGAGGAGGAGGAGAAGGAGGAGTAGTAGTAGTAGTAGTAGTAGTAGCAGTGGCAATAGCAGTAGCTGTAGCGGTAGTATTACTGGTGGTGGTGGTGGTAGTGGTGGTGGTAGTGGTGGTGGTGGTGGTGGTGGTGGTGGTGGTGGTGGTGGTGGGGTAGTGGTGGTGGTGGCGGTGGTGGTGGTGGTTGTGGTGCTGTTGCTAGTGCTAGTGCTGGTGCTGGCGCTGGTGCTGGTGTTGGTGGTGGTGCTGCTGCTGCTGCTGGTGGCGGTGGCGGCGGTGGTGGCGGTGGTGTTGGTGGTGGTGGTGGGAACCCGGTCTGCGTCCAGCTGTCATAGACTCCATGGTTTTTTTCTGTTTTCGCGCTTAGCACCTGCATTTCGGTAGCAAACACCTGTATCGGCCTAGCACGCTCGAAAACGCCCGTTTCAATAAGTTTTGGCTTCGCATTTCTTCACGTTCATGTGCGAGAAACCACGATTTCGTCAATTTGTCCCAATCTTCCGTTAAATTTAGACAAGTGGCCTTTCCGAGCTTTTCCTTTGGCACTTCTTGCCGTCCACGTTTTCGCACCTTCAAAAAGCTCAAACCCCAGTTTGGGCGCAGTCGAGGCTTTGTCGATGTCTGTCTCTTCCCTTTTGCGGGTGGGCAGGTGGGGAAGTGCCAAACGCTTCGCTCCCGCGACGTGCTTCATGCGCTGCTTTTCCGCTGCGTGCTTTTTGGGGTGCATTCCGTGGATTGGGGGGTCAGCCACAGGTGAGCGAGAGGCGATTTCAAGTAGCCAGAGCCTGAGCAGGCTTGGGGACCATGCCGCAGTTTGAAGTTTAGAGCTTTGGGCTAACCATACGGCCAGAACATGCCAGAACTATGGTCAAGTAGGATTCCATGGAGGGTTACGAGGATTTAACTTTAGGATTTAGTCCTGTGGACATGTTGTTAGAGTGTAATGAGACACACTGCCAGTTTCAGCGTTTGCAAAGCTTGTCTGAGAGCTA